CACGCCAGGTGCGTAATGGCTACAGTTCTGGCCTTTATGAGGGCCTGCAAGACCTTTTTCGTAAAGCTTAATCAGGCCGTTTTAGACTTCGTAATTCGTAGGCAGCCTCCGCAAAAATTAACGTAATTCGTAATTGGACATTAGCCACAAATCGTAAAGTCGTAATCAGCTCTGAGACTTTAACGTAATACGTAATAGGTGGCGAAAATTTTGCGTAATTCGTAATCAGTCACTACCACCCCCCCCCCCCTTCGCAGGTCCTCCTTTTATGTTCTCTGCCATGTCGACAGAATGAGCTGTTTACGTGCAGGAGAGGAGCATGCGCCGTGACTTTGATTGTTTAATAGCAGAACACAGCCTTTCGCATATGGGGATTTCTATAGTTAAGGACCCGGAAGTGACTGACATCGACTCGGACAAAAATACAGTAGGGTACCATAGAAAAGCACGAGAAACGAATATGTTCAAATATAGGGTACGATGTACAAAATAACAAAAAAGTACAAAAAATTATCGTTTTTTTGACATCATGCCGCCCTCTTTTAAATGGCCTCCTGCGGAGCGCACCGGAACTGCAGCCGACTCACCCTGGCAGGCAGCGGAAAGGTCAGGCGCATTTATACGGCGATCGAGCAGCCTTCCTAATCTATATCAAAGCCGACATATTATGGTACCATACGGTAACTTGTATGCCCCGGTGTGATCCACATTGGGCTGTGTACAAGCGGTGCAAGCTGTTTGTCGCACTCATTTCTTATCCCTACGTCATCATGCGTAATACTGTGTTCTGCTACCGGTCGACGTTACAAAGTTTACCTGACCCAATACCATGTGTTGGTTCTGATACGAACCTTGTTCAGTTACTGTTATCGGTTAAGTCAAATATTTTTGAGCTAGTTGACAAATACTTGCCAATAACTCTCTTACAGGCACTCGGAGGGTCGGTCAATCATCCAGCCAGGACACTGAGTTGCAGACCAGGCAGGTCGGACGGTTGGAAGCCGAGTTCAGACACGGAAGTGCACTGCCACGTCGACAGAACTTCCTGGATAGACAACCGAAATCTCCAAGCAGATCCCTCTCGGTGGCAAAAAGACAGTATCAAATTGGCCAGGCAGTATCCATTAGCCAGAGAAGCTCCATTAGCCACCGTTGGTGGGGATCGGGACAAAAAAAAACGGCCATATATAAAAAGGTAACGATCATTCCCCACAACCTCTGCATGGAGAGTAAGACAACCGGAACTTTAGATAGCATGCGCCGTCACATGACCGTTACTAGTACAAAGTTCAACTGGATTTTTTGCTCTGTTTGTTTTGCTCAGGTAAAATGGACCTTGTCCTTGGTTATCTGATAAGTGCGGGCGCAGACCCTTATGTTTACCTCTACATGCAGACGGGTTTGCGGAAAAACCTGTCCACCAACCAGGCCAGTCCACCAGGCCAGGCTAGCCAGGCCAGCCACTCCGATCCCCCCATTCATATCCTCGCGTATGGTAGGCCATCCAAGCAGCGGAATTCATCAAAATTGCACCCAACGCATATGTATGCGTACGGGAGGTTAATGACCCCCGCGGCAACCTTTGGGTGGCCGCCAGGAGCGCGATTTATTCGGGTAACACACATGAGGAGTCCATGCACACACAGTAAGGAGTCCATGCGAAATGGACATTTAAAAATATCTGCCGAGTTTTCCCCACATATGCACACAGCAAGAAATGTACCGGAGCGAATATAAGTAGAGGTGTAAAAAAAAACTTGTCAAGGTATTTTATTTCTTCGAAGTTTAAACCTTTGAAGTTTTTAGTCATCAAAAGTATTCAAAAGTACATATCATCGATATGAATGGGGGGATCGGAGTGGCTAGCCTGGCCTGGTGGACTGGCCTGGTGGCCTGGCCTGATTGGTGGACGGGTTTTTCCGCAAACCCAAATGCAGACTAATTGTCAACCAACCATTACCACAATAATTTCTCGCAATACTATCATAATAATGACTTGTTCCGCAATATATTACATTTAAGGACATGTACTTCCTTTCCCTACGGTGGCAAGGCAGTATCCAATCGGGCAAGCTGTGGTCATTTGTAGTCCACCAGACTAACACCATAGGTTCAAAAACAGTAACATTTAGCCAAATATGGGGGATAATTGGCCACCCGAGCGAGTTTGGCCACCGTGTATATAGTTCATTTGACAAGGGGGAAATGTTTGCAGGAATTCTATTCTATTAAACTCCTTGGGAAGGCCTGGTGGAGGCAAGTGTCACCGTTGGTCGATGGGCACTTCTTGACCGAGAGCATACTGCCTTGCCACCGTAGCATCTGCTTGGAGATTAGTCTTATAGCTATTTATGGCATCCTTGGCGAGTGCTGATGTACTGAGATCACAACAGAGTCGTTTAACGATGGGAAGACTGATGGTTTATTAAAATAAAATAAAACGCATTCTTCATAATCAGAATGCTACTGATGATTTGATTCAATACATTAACCACAATGCCCGCTAATGTAAAACTTTTGCAACTGCAAACTTTGGTAAACGTTCGAATGAAAGCTCATCTGTGTTGGTAGATCCATAGTTATAGACTTCGAACGTGTTCGAACACAAGGAATGTTGTGTTGGAACAAGTTCGAACTCTACAACTTTGGTAAAAGTTATACTTACTACATGAGGCTCAGCATTGTGGTGCTATGTGACACTTACACACGGTTCGGGGTAAAAATTTAATGGTAATTTTAGTTCTTACTATACATAATTTACATTGTAAACAAGTACTTTGTTCACCTTTCTGCAAGGCACTGACAAACAATGCTGGTTGGTCTAACATCAGTTTGAACACAAACGGTGAAACTGCCGTATCCCCCTTTCTTGTATTTACAGGCGACTGATTGTAAACAATTATTACATCGCTTACACAATGACATAACAAAAAAAAAACAAAGAATTAGGTTGGCTTCCCACTTGTCTTGTCTTGTCTTAACAGGATGACAAATCGTTCGATGTCAAAATCACATTCAACACTCATCTCTAAACTGACCAGAACAAAGTAATGTGCGATACAATGTATATGATATTGACTCGTGTATATCATGTATATACAACTAAATGTAACTTCAGTTACAAATGAGTTATTTAGTTCTTTAAGCATTTAATTGTGTTAGATATCACCTTATAAAACTTTCTTTCCCGAGTGTTAACTATTGACCTGGTGAGTCCTGTTCATCTGGTGACGTTTCTCAGCACGTACATTTAATCAATTTGTCCTGCGAGCACCATAACGATAACTCCCAGCCCAGCAGAGACAAAAGACCCGACAAGTACACCTACCAGGGCGGGAACATCGTACCAGTAGTCCTGTGTATGGGTGTACCACACCGTTACCATGATGATGTTACCTAGCAACGTCAGCACGGTGCTCAGCCAGAACGTCCGATTGTGGGCCATAGAGAAGGTTATGCTGAAGGTGTCCACGGCCATAAGTAGGGCTGCTCCAATACCTAGGAAGACTATAGCGTTCTTATCAATACATATGATAGTAACTGTCATTACCAGCCAGTGCACTCCGATGGGCAGGGCGATCCATGGTTGAAAGGCAGACGCGAACAGCCCTATAGCCAGTACACGCACACTGAGTTCTACCACTTTCCATACGGTGAGGAGGATGAGCCTTGTCACAAATCCACAGCTACATGTCATGTCTAATGCTTTGATAACAAAATAGTAAAGACCTGTGACCACAGCCTTGACTGCTGCCAGCAGTGACGCCACCATGGTGATGACCTTCAGGACGCTGACCTGTTCACCTGTGAGGAGGAGGATGTAGAGCTGTAGGCACAGCTGAGGGACGCTCTCCAACATGCCTTCCAACAGGTGTACAGCGGGAAGACTTATCACAATATGTTTGTCCACATCATTACCTTTCACTAACAGATACAGGATGTTGAGATATACTGGGAACACACCCAATTGCAGGATAGCAAGCAGGACCTTAAAACTCATCAGTTTGCTGTCTTTAACATTCCCTGATATGAGCAATGAGAAGATATTTATGATTATTGACGGCCCGAGCACAAACCCGAGCGTCAAGCCAAACCAGGTAAAATCCCCGCTGTTGTAGTACTGAACTGCCAGCGACAAGTCAGTGGTGACGTCAAACAGGTACAGGCCCAGCGGTACCACCACGTAGAACAAGATCTTCCTCGGCAAGGAGTCCCAGACCGAGGCAAAACAACCCCTGGTGTTTTGCATCGGTTCGGAGTCCCAGACCGATCCTAGACAACCCATTGCGTTTTGACTCCACTCTGAAGGGTGGACAGAGAATGAGCCAAAGTCTGATTTACCACAGTGACAATGCTTTACCCGGCAGCCAGCGGAAACACGTACGTTGACCTAAAAGGGGGTCGACAAAAAAAGCCATCATGAAGAATATTTACAACTACCACAGGAATAAGTTTTTGTATTTATATTCTCAAAGTTCAAATGTCCTAATGTCATTGCACAAATTGTGATATTTCCTAGATGTGGTAAGAGTATTAAGTATAATGCCCTTGCTTTGAATTCATATTGTGCATATTTGTACACATTGAACAGGTTTCAATCATGAATTAAATGCTAATGGGTTTCCTGAAGAGTGTACAAAATTGGACCTTATGTCACCAATATCAATGTTCTGCTAAAGTGATTATCTTACCTCATGTGACGTTTAGAGACGAAGAATGTCTACCCAGGGCGGTTGCCTCTGAGACCACAGGTAGAGCGGTTGGGAGCTGAGTACAGACTGAAGCGCACTGCCACGTCAACAGAACTTTCTGGACAGACGGGGGAGTGTTGTTTGTGTACTGGGACTTTAGGGAGCATGCGATGTCATATGACTTTAATTGTATAACCTGTCACCGTTGCAAAGTACATCTACTCTGTGTGTTTTGCTCAGGTAAAATGGACCTTGTCCTTCGTATCTTATAAGTTGGGTGCTGACACTTATGTTTACCTCTATATGCAAATGAGCTGTTAACCAACAATTACCACAATAATTTCTCGCAATACTATCATAATAATGACTTGCTCCACAATATATTACTCTTAAGGATATATGCTTCCTTATCTTTTGTGAGAAAGGCACACGACATCCAAACATACTGACATTACTGTTAGTCCTCACATGTATGCTTATGAAAACTTAGGACGTCAAAAGGAATGTTTAACGAATGGACAATTTGTACAGTAGACTAATTTGATGTTGTAGAGTCGTAGACTAATTCATCAAATTTGAGTAGACGATTGACAAGGCCTGCCTAGAAATAAATACATAAAAGCATAATCTATGTATTTGGGTTAGGTTTAGTCTATTCCAAGACCCCAAAGCCCTATTACAAGAGCACCATCATATAGCAAAAGACAGCAATACTTTGAGGTAAGTGCTATGGGGCCTTTATGACGAATTGTTACTATAAATCTAGATTCACGATATTCAACATCAGAACAGCCTGGACAGTTCTATCGTTAAGCCACGACCAGGCAACACTTCCAAACAATGGTGTACCCCAAAACTATCCTTCTCGCTATGATCACCGTACTTCTGGAACAAGCCGACCAGTCTAACCGTTACTCCAATGCCCCCGGCGGCGCGAGGACGGAGTCTCGGGGCGGTTTGATCCGGGTGGTCGTCAAGCCGTCCGACGCCCGGGGTAAAGCCACTGGCCCCGGCGGCACGGGCTCGGTGTTTCGGGGTGGGCTGCCCTGGTTGTTCCCGCCGGTCAGAACCGACCGGGATAAAGCCACTGCCCCCGGCGGCGCGAGCTACGGAGCTTCCGGGCGCAGTGACCCGGGTGGTCGTTAAGCTGACCGACGCCCGGGATAAAGCCACTGGCCCCGGAGCAAGCACGGAGTTTTCGGGCGGGCTGCCCGGGTTGGTCCCGCCGCCCGACGTCGCCCAGCCTAACGCCACTGCCCCCGACACGGGAAGGTACGTGTTTTTTTTTTTTATTAAAAAAAAGCAGTGATGAATACAAATGAAAGGACACAGACAAAGTGACTGCGAACTCAACGTATATTCTTGCAGCCACTTTTCCAATGGAAAGTAAACTTGAAAAAAATTAAGGTATTTTAGAATACATTTGAAAAAGTGAGGATTCAAAAGAGACCTTAGGTTGAAGGGTGAGTCAAAACTCCCACCCCAGAACAAAAGAAAGCAAAGCAGTAATCTCCAAGCAGATGTTTCAGTGGCTGCAAAATACAGTATCAAATTGGCCAGCGAATATCCATTTGCCACCGGGTACGGTCGGGCCAATGGGTACTGCCTGGCGAATTTGATTCTGTCTTTGCAGCCACCGAAAGGTCTGTTTGGAGATTAGCAAAACAGGGCACATATAGCTAAAAGCCTTTTGTTTCTGTAATGTACATTTTGTAGGTACGTGTTCCCTGGCGGACTGCCGGGGATGGTCATTACGCCAGTACGGTCAAAACTCCCATCCCAGAAGAAAAGAAAGCAAAGCAGGACACAGTCAGCTAAAATCGTTTTCTTTATTCAACTCAATGATGATGTTTGTGTGATGTAGGTACGTGTTCCCTGGCGGGCTGCCGGGAATGGTCATCACACCAGTACGGTCAAAACTCCCATCCCATAAAAAAAAAAGAAAGCAAAGCAGGACACATACAACTAAAAGCGTTTTCTTTATTCAATTCAATGATGATGTTTGTGTTCTGTAGGTACGTGTTCCCTGGCGGGTTGCCGGGAATGGTGGTCACGCCAGTCCGGGATATGGAGATCCTGGAGGAGAGCTATGCTCGCGTTATGGAGATCAGGAAACACGTGGTCACAGACTTCGGTAAGTATAAAATGTCTTTAGACAACAATAAGGCTTTATTTCAAATCCAGTGGACTAGCCCCTTGCTATAGTGCTTGCACACCTGTGTGGCCAAAGGGCTACAGAAATGGATATGGGCACCACCCCTATGCTCCTCAAGGAGTGGAAAGGGACCTTTTTCTTCTTCCTCTTCAGCGAGACTTCCTAGCAGCAAAGGCTTGGGAGTCTCGTGAGCCCGAGTGAGAAACGCTTGTTGAAAAAAACAACAACGTTCAACAGTTTGGAGTAGTTTGCCTGAGAAATGTAAAAGTACTAAACGGTCCAAACGGGCTTTTTACTATACATTTTTGGGGTTTTCAACCGTCAGCTTGCTAAGGTGACCATTTGGCACCACCTTTACATGAGTTATGGGGTTAGGCAGAGGGAGAAGGAAAAAAACATCATTAATGTTGCAAACGACTATACACATGTGCCAACTTCATGTTTTTTGTAGAGGTTGCTGACTGCACCACCACTGGAGATGAAATGGGGAACGAAACAACTACGTAAGTACCAAAGGACAGGGACATTGACATATTTAAGGCCAATTGGATTAAAACAGACTCAAAGTGTAGTAATTGGTTATCTAAAATTGGCAAAAGTCCATGATTGAGATGAGATGAAATCCAATCTTCTATCGGTCGCCACTTCCATTCAGCACCTAATAGCTAAAAACAGCTTCAAATATGCCATATGTCTAAGACAAAACTCTGTCTCCTAGAAATAAAATCATGTGAAATTTTGTAGACATTCACTGAAATTGCCCCAATTCCATGCAAAAGCGCGTAAGATGTGAATACAAAATGTCTGGAAAATGTTAATAAAACAGTGAGAAAAATTATTATCTTTAAACATTATTATAGCATCTACTGCCCGGTTGGTTGCGCCGCTCATGTCAAAGCCACCGTGTGGGGAACTGGAACATACAAATGGGTAAGTAGACTCAAATACCGAACCGTTCGATGAATTTTGATGTAGCAATCACGCCATTGATTAGTTGGTTGGTTGGTTGGTTGGTTGGTTGATTGATAAGTTGATTGATTGAAACAATTAATCTAATAAGTTGGTAAATAGGCAAAAATACCAAAATGTTAGATAAATTTTGATTTATTAATCACTTCATCGATTAATAAATATTTTCATCGATGAATCAATCGATCGATCAATAAATTTGTTAATTGATTTTATCGATTGATTGATTGATTGATTGATTGATTGATTGATTGATTGATTGATTGATTGATTGATTGATTGATTGGTTGGTTGTTGATTGATTGATCCGGCAGGCCTCGTCCATGTGCCGTGCGGGCGTCCATAACGGGAAGCTGGTTCACTCCGCGGACGGATTCGTCACGGTGGACAAGTTCAACTGTTTGATAAACTGTTTTATCGATTAATTGATTATTCATTTATTGATTGATTGATTGATTGATTGACACCGTCAGGCCTCGTCCATGTGCCGTGCGGCCGTCCATAACGGGAAGCTGGTTGACTCCGCGGGCGGGTTCGTCACCGTGGAGAAGCGGCAGCTCGGGATGAACTGTCTTATTGATTTATTGGTTATTGAATATTATCATATAGCCGGACGGCGTGGACCAATCAGAGGCCCGGATACCCGTGCTGTTATTTCCCGATAACAGCACATGTGGTGTTATGGCGGAATAACAGCACATGTCGTGTTATGGCTGATACCATTATGTTATAGGGTATAGGGGCATGCGACTCTTTCTGTAAACCTTTGTAGCATTTTTCTGTCCAATAAACTTTTTTGTTTAGCTTCATTTAAACTACAATTTGCATTAAATGAAATTATCCATATTTGTTTTAAAGCGTATAATATATTCGAATGTATTTTTATGTATGTATATATATTAAAGCTGTTGTATTTCAAACAGGAATTGTGTTGATTGACAGTTTGGATAGGCTATATGATAATAATTTTAATGCACTGCCTTTTCCTCGTTGTATATGGTGTCATAACTGCATGGGCAGCTGCCATAACCACCTCATAAACCACCTCGTTCGCTTCGCTCACACGGTGGTTTATTCGGTGGTTATGGCAGCTGCTCATGCAGTTATGACACCATATACAACTCGGGGCAGTGCATTAACCCTTTATTATTGAATGTTATTGAATTAAAAAGTCTTTAGATATGATGATGATGGCTGAATATTGGCAGGACTCGTCCATGTGCCGCGCTGCCGTCCATATCGAAATCGCGGGATTCGAAAGATCGTTTTATTAATTGATTAGTTTATCGATTGATTATAGATTGATTGATTGATTATTGAATTTTGGCAGGACTCGTCCATGTGCCGCGCCGCCATACATAACGGGAAGCTTGATGACTCTGCTGGCGGATTTGTCACGGTGGACAAGCGGCCGCTCGGGATGATGTTTCCCGGGTCCGTCCGGAACGGCGTCCGGTCAACCCTCGCCGTCATCAACGCCAAGTACGTCACTATGATATTTACCTTCGCCAAGAAGGTTATGTTTTCAGGGGCGTTCGTGTATGTGTGTGTGTGTGTGTCTGTCAACACGATAACTTGAGAAGGCCTTGATGGATTGTCTTGATACTTGGTAGGTGGGTAGGTCTTGATGAGACCTCAAAATGATTAGATTTTGGACCCCCTAGCGGCTTGTTATGGTACTGCAGCTGAACTTCCGGTTTTGATATCTCATGATCTAGACATGCTATGGTGATGAAATTTGGATGGTAGGTAGCTCTTGTGCTGGGGAAGAAGTGACATGAGTTTAGGCCCCCTAGCGGCTTGCTCTGGAACTACAGGGATATATTCTTGAAAATATTCAAAAGGGGATAACTCAAGAACCAGTTGACGGATCGTCGTGATTTTTGTTATGTAGGTAGCTTACGTGATGCTTAATATAATTATGTGACAATTATGCAAATATGGATGTAATTTGCATAATTTATAGGGAAATTCTATAAATCATCTGCATTCCATGATAGGACAATTGAAGCTTGTGACATTGGTAATTGACAACCAGAGAAACACAGGAAGATATTGATTATGTTAATAATGACTTAATTTGCATAATTAATTAGAAAATTTTATAATTATGTAATGATAACTGCCTGGAATTTCATACTTGTGGTATTTGAAAGTTAAATTGAGGTGAACATCATTAAACATAATTTATTCAAATCAGGACCTCATTTGCATAATTTATTAGGAAATGCTAGAATGCATTGTTTGTTAATATAAGACTGTCTTTTGGTTGAGATTATGATAAAATGATATAATTCATGAAAATTAGGTTCCTATTTCTTAAATCAGGGGGGAATAATCTAATTTATAATTTGTCAGTCATAAAGATTAACATCATTTGGCGAAGGTATGAGATCGGGGAACTCTAGTTTTTGATGCGTCTAGACAAACCCTGTATTACAAACATGATCTACTCCCACATTTTCCACTGTACAAAAAGCGAGAAGTTGACCTCTCTATATTAGCTCAGTGACTAGAACATTTTGTACTAGCCTAGTACAGTACCCTTGTATGTTCCTTATGTATGTATGTCTAAGTCAAGTTGTGCATCCTCCAATTTCCTATATACGTTTGTTATGTGTCTGTCATATCTTGACCTGTACCTAGCCCGTTGTGGCATGAATGTACAATAAAGGTATTTCATTTCATTATTGTTTTTATGTACTTTGAATAGTGTTATAGATTGTTGTCCATGTCAACTTCCACTGTAATGTCTTGTGTCTGTAAGAATTGCTTATTATAGCCTTTTGCAATAGCCACAGAAGTTAGTCTGGCTGCCCTGTGCTCAACGGCCAAAAGGAAATTGATAGATGCACAAATATTATCCTCAGAATTTTCGTCACTTTTAGGCCATTGATGAAACTTTTCAAACTGTAGTTTATTTCAATGGAGCTGTCTTTACCTATACTAACCAAACTATTATTAAACATTTGCAATATTTGGACAGAAAAAAAAAGCAAAATGGCTGAGAGGTTGACTTTTTCTTGATGTGAAACCTTTCTAGTATTTCCAACCAATTTATGATATAAAAAAAAGTCGAATATAGTAACACGTCAGTAGAGCTGATTTCAGTGATGGTTGACATCTTATGTCTTTGAAAAATGACAGAAAATGCGATCTAACTGAATCGGAGATTCTACCGGTAGAGATTGCAATCATAGTCTGGGTAGACAGAAAATGCGATCAGGAACATCTATCTGATAATAATTGCTTTTTCATTTTTCTTTCTCGACCAACAGTCGCTTTCCTAAGGGAGACAAGAAGTCGTTCGTCTTGCGGAAATATAAGTTCGGGGAGTGAGAAATCCGTCGTACGACCGTGTCACAACTGTTGCACGACTCATTGATATTCTTGAGACAGTCTTGTTTCTGTCGTGCAATATTCGCCTGTCTCGTGACAGAAAACATTTCCTGTAGACCTTTGTCGGCAGTAGGTTCTGTGGCATACAGTTTCTCTCTAAAATGCATTAACCCATTACACGAAAATTTTACGAGTGCAAATATCGCAGATTTTTATGCCAATGTTGACTAGTAGCAAGAACTAGAAAGGGGTCATGGACAGGGCGCTAGCCGGTGGTAACTGTCTAGCCTCCGTAGCAGGCTTATAGAACTGGGGGTTTGGTGGTCTTAGGCTGTTTTCTGATAAGCCCAGTTCTAAAAACGGGGTAATTCAATCAGGCCGGCTATGTTGTCTATATGCAATCAGGAAATAGCACATAAAAGCTCCCAAAGACCCTGAAGACCCCCAAAACCCCCAGGTGTTGGCATCCTATGGAGGCTAGTAACTGTCGTCGCCAGAATGAGTGTTAAGAGAATAGATGAATAAATGGATGCTAAGAGTCCAGACTAATTTGAACACTGAATACAAACATGACGATACAGATTAATCTAAACCCAATCTACTGTGCTGGATTTTACTTCATGGTTTCATGAATGGTAGAATATCGTGGTGCTTTGTGTCCAATTTGTAACAAAAAAGATCGCTTTAAAAGTTACCTATCATCGGGTTGAGAGAAGAAATGTGAGACAATACTTGTCTAGAAAGAATCTTACACAGATCACTCGCCTTCACTGTGAAGATGTCAAATAAAATTCACATTATCAATCAAAATTCAATCATATGTTGTATTTTATTCACTGATGTCCCGAGGCAAATATAATACATATCTCTACAAAATGCTTATAAAGTACATGACAAATATCTGGCGGAACATTACCTTTTAAAAACATATATCATAAAACGATACTTGTTTTATCCGTTTTGATATGTTAATTGACATTTTCATAGTGTAATATAGAACTGATGTCGTTTGCATTTTCACAAGGCACATGTATCTTCGATGGCATCACGAATTTGGCCATCTTTCTTTTCGCCTTCTTTCCAATCCGCCATAACCTTTTCTCAAAAGCCTCGTTTGCCTGAAATGAAATGCACCAAATCAAAGTCAGTCTCATTTCTCAGTAGTAGTGGTCATCAGATACTGGTCCTCATGGAACATGCGCATTTTGGTGTTGTTTCTTCCCAATGAACGTTTTGGAGGTAAACTAGCACATGCATCAGACCATGATGCCCGCGGAGGATTGATTGTGCTGCTAATTAAAAAAGGAACAACTGTTACAGTAATGTACTAATGATGATAATTTTGATAACTACCATAGTGATGATGGAAATACAAAAAAATAGAAAGGTAACATTTGCAAGGCAAATGCATAATGTTAACCTTCGCATATGGTCTGCTCCGTTAATTCTTACTCAAACACATTCATATATATGGTCAGACAGGAGTCTAAATCCTTCCTGCTATAGAATTGCAACATGATGTAACCCAACACCAGTAACCATAGCGCCAGCCGTCTGTTTCCAGGTCATTGACGTTTTTGGTTTGGAGAAGAAACTGAGCAAAAACAATATGTTTTCCTTCGGTAAACATAAAATATAGATCTTACCAGAAGCCATATTTGCCAGAGCTTTGACGTCCTCCATCCCGAACCCATCACTCAAGTCAAACCGAGGCTGACCTCCATGATGACCCCTGTGGTGACCTCCGTGGTGACCTCCGTAGCCGCCGTACCCGCCGCCATATTGGCCGCCATATTGGCCGCCGTATCCACCATGATGGCCGCCGTGATGACCGCCGCCCCCTAGCAGCCCTCCCAGGCTCTGCAGCATGCCCATTTTACCTTTCTTGTGGTGACCGTGACCTGTACATGAAGATATTCTTCGGTAAGTACATCTGCTTGTTCTCTCACCAATAAAAGTGGAAACAAGAAACCATAGGCATCAGAGGAAATTTGCAATCCTAGCTTTGGCTTCCTGAATTCCCCATCAACTGGCTTCCGACCAGATTCTGAGATCTCCTGTCTTACAGACAGACAGAACTTTATTGCACGACAGTTGTACATAGTGCAATGTATGGCAAGGTACAAAAAACAACAAAAAACAATAAAATGAACGTGTTCAGTAAGACCTAATGTAGATTAAAACGTAACATATCCTAACTAGAGTTCGATGATCTCATACCTCCATGACATGTGTATTGTTTTCATAAATCTTACGCATGGTGATGACCACCTGTAATTGGCTTACATTTTTCACCGCATATATTTAAATCATATGAGGCCATTTGCATATATTGTATCAATTGATCATACTCTCCACCAAATGACAGGGTTATCTTAAGAAATAAGGCTATTCTAGCGTTTCCTCATAAATTATGCAAATGAGGTCCTGATTGACATAAATTATGTTTAGTGATGTTCACCTTCACTGAACTTCCAATTATGGCAAGTATTAAATTCCCAGCAGTTACCACCATAAAATTGTATCAATTTGCCATTTATTATGCAAATTAGGTCTTCCTTTACATAATCGATATCTGCCAATGATCTTGTCGTTCTCACTAACATATGTCTATATAGTTTTATAGCCCTAATATGAAATACAGCTGATTTATAGAATTTCCTCATTAATTATGCAAATTAGATCCTGATTTGCATAATTATATTTTGATTATGTCAAGCATCACTTAAGCTACCTACATACCAAAAATCATGATGATCCATCAAACGGTTGTTCAGTTATCCTCTCTCGAAGATTTTCAAAGAAACCACCCTGCAGTTCCAGAACAAGCCGCTAGGGGGACCAAACTCACGTGACTTCTTTCCGAGGACAAGAGCTACCTTCCATCCAAATTTCATGACCCTAGCATGTCCAGATCGCGAGATATCAAAACCGGAAGTTGCGCTGCAGTACCAAGGGAAGCCACTAGGGGGCCCAAAATCTAATCATTTCCAGTTTTTGTCACACCCTACCAACACACCAAGTATGAAACCAATCCATCCAGGCGTTCTTGAGTTATCTTGTTGACCAACAGACGGACAGACGGACAGACAGACGGACAGACGGACAGATAAACGCAACTGAAAATATAACCTCCATGACACATTTCATGGAGGTAATTACTCAAACAACAAGGGATAGCACAAGTCTTTGATAAAGCGTTATAATCGAGTGGGGCTAATCAATCGTCCACCCACGGTCTTTCAACATACTCTGTTCGGACACGGAACAAACAAACTCACCTGTCAGGCACCCAAAACAGTACTTCCGAGGCCGGAAGTAAAGAACACAAACATTCATAACACATGTAAATTACTTGATTTCCCGAACAACCCAGCAAAGGCTGAACAGAATCTGATATATATTCTCGCCCCTCTTCGATAGGTCCATCTTTTTGTCAATTTCTCAAAGAAATAGACATAAAACTCACCTCCCTTCCCCAGCGCGCCCATACCCAGACTCGCAAGTGACCCCAGGTTGAACCCGCCCTTCTTGTGCCCGCCGTGCCCGCCGCCGCCGTGTCCTCCCAGCATCCCCAGGACCTATAAAATACAAAACATTTTTAAACGTTAAATTAAGTCGCGATCTTCTTGTGGCAGAGAAGAAGACCCAGTTGTCCTTATCAAATCAAGGTAGTCATATACATATTATACTGCTCTTAGTCTTTTTGTTCGTTGTTAGATTGTGTATCGTTACAATGTACATTGACTTATACATATTGCTACATGGGATATGGAATTAAGTATTGCTATATGGGATTACGTATTGCTACATTGAATAGGGGGTTACCCATTGCTACATGGCATATGAGATTACGCATTGCCACATTGGATATGGAATTATGTATTGCTACATTTAGCATGGGATTTAGTATTGCTACATTGGATATGGAATTATATATTGCTACATGTAGCATGGGATTTAGTATTGCTACATTGGATATGGAATTATGTATTGCTACACTGCATGTGAGATTACGCATTGCTACATTGGATATGGAAGTATGTATTGCTACATTTAGCATGGTATTTAGTATTGCTACATTGGACAGAAATTACGTATTGCTACAATGGATATGGGATTACGCATTAATTGCTACATTTTGCTGAGAAAGTTGAGTAAGTAAAACGGTCCTTTCCTGGTTGCCGTGTCCCCCGTGATGCCCCTGTCTGCCGTGATGCTTTCCGCCTCCCGCGTACGCCATGGAACCCATCACCTGGCGGGGTCAGGGTTAATGAGTTAGTTAATTAGTCAACAAGCGGTTGATATTAATCCATTAATAACAAATCTAGTACATAAGAACACGCAATCTACCTTCGTTATAGAATGAGAAAGGGAATGACACACACATCAATATATGATTATGATTATGGTACTCGTATAAAATGTTGAAAATTACCTTCATTTTATTTGACATGACGGGTCACAAGGTTCCCCCTCAAAGGAAACCAGGTACCAAATCACATCATAGATTTGAAAATGTACAGCATAGAGGTCCAAATCACAGCATGGAGTTGTTCAAAACAGCATAGGGGTCTAAGTCAGCATAGAGGGCCACCCCTGTGCTCAAACTAATCTCCAAGCAGATTCTGTGGCCGTGGGGGCAAGGGGGTATATTGGCCACTTATAACCATTTGCTGGCGTATTTGATAATGCCTGGCCAATTGGATACTGTCTTGCAAATTTCATACTGTATTGAAGACCCCCAGAGTATTGGATACTAGTACTGCCTGGCCAATTGGATACTGCCTGGCCAATTGGATACTGGCTTGCCAATTTCACTGTATTGAAGCCACCCAGATTGAATACTGCCTGGCCAATATATTGGATACAGTCTTGCCAATTTGATACTGTATTGAAGCCACACGGCCAGTATTGGATACTGCCTGGCCAATTAGATACTATACCAGCCTTGCGAATTTGATACTGCATTGCAGCCAGAGAATCTGCTTGGAGATTACGTTCAAACATAGCCTGGTGTCCAACCTTGTTAGCTTTGGTCCGCTCCCCAAGATCGCAAAGCTAACAAGGCTGGACATCAGCTGCAGGCTAGCTCAAACAGCCAAGCGAGAGTTTATTATGTACTGGTAACTTACAACTACACAGCACACATGTAGTGTATGCAGCAAGGTCTGCAAAACCAAGGCCGGACTTTCAAGCCACATGAGAGGTCACCAGAGGCGCGAACCAGATAGTCTACAATACAGTGAAGTGCCAAAGTATTAAACTCACCAGCCCCAGCGGCCCGAGCTTCTTGAGCAGCCCGTACTTCCTGAGCGTGTTGAGGTGCTGCATGGTGGACAGGTCCGTCAGCCTGTCCGTGATGCCGTGCGGGTCATCATACTCCTGGTCTGCGGGAGGCAGGTTTATAAGCTAAGTCATTTTCACCTGAGTTAACGTTGTCTATAAAGAGGTAATATCCCTCGTCTGGAAGACATGTTTCTGTGTTCATTTTCACTCGAGTTAACTTTGTGTATAAATCGGCAATGACGTTGGGACCACAAGAAGAATAGAAAGTAGTGTCAACTGGAGCTACATGTAGATTCTAAATAGTTCAAATATATGGAAGTCTCAGAGTATGGCAAGTCTACATTCGAAGCAAAGCAAATCCTACTAGTACAAAAACTGTATACTGTATACATCGACTTCCTTGCATGTATGTTCATGTACATGCAGCGTCTTCTTTCTATTTAGTTCTATTTATTCATTAAAAAACAGTTATTATACTGTACTTTTTTTAATGGTTGTAGAGGAACTGCAACAAACTGTCCGACGCTTACCGTGATACCTGCCCCGCTTGCCGTGCTGGTAATACTGGTGTTGTTCTGAAGAGACAAACATTACAGTCAAAATTATTAGTTTAGTCGTAACATGACCTGATTAAGGCAACCAAATTTCCAAATTCATTATTATACATACTATAAGAGGGCTACCATCATCTTTCAAGATTGAAGGATTCCTACTACTTCTACTACTACTTCTACTACTACTACTACTACTATACTGTAACTACTGTAACTACTACTACTACCACTACTACCACTACTGCTACTACAACTTCTACTACTACTACTGCTGCTACTACTACTGCTACAGTAACTACTGCTACTATGAAGCTCGCCCCTGGGCCGTTGCCAAAACGTACCTCCTCTGTCCGCCCGCTCCAAAACGTGGTTCAGGTCCATCAGTTTGCCGAGTGTTGCCTGCTCTTCTGGTGACGCTCTCTGCATTACTGTGAATAATGATATATAATTAGTTTTATGTACTCTATCTGTATTAACAGTTTAACACTGACACTATATAATACACACACAAAAGTACTTATCTATTACATGTATTTCACTAGGGGCATTATGACTGAGCACAAAATACATAAAACAAAAAATAAAGAAAACAGATTTTTTTACTTCTTTAATTCATGTTGAAGTGTAATATTGTTTCATGCATGTTGAGTGCATTCTCCATGGCTTTCTATAGCTACAGATGACTGATAGTAGCATGTATAGGGTTTGAACCTCAAGAATGTAATATGCGTGTTCTGCATCATAGCACTTGTTATGCATTTAAGGTGAACTATGCAATTACTACTGCTACATAACAGTGTGGTAATGTTTCGACTGATTGTAAGACGAAAAGATAAGTACTCTTGTTGGTACATTTTAGCACAAGCCTTTCTAAAGTATGTTATTGGTACATATATATCAATAGGCCAAGGGCTAGGTACACAATGACACTACAACTTCCTACATGTGCAAACACAAGACATTTGTGTCCAAGGCCAAGAATCCATGCTATGCAATACACGCCTACCGCACTGTATGAATGCATGTATACTGCGCAGTATTTATATATTCAAGCCATAAACTTGAATAAGCCATTATTGAATATATCTGGTGACCTGTAACTTTTTTGACGGAATCTACCATGAATGAAAGTCGCAAAACAACTTTTACCCCACCTAGCGAGAATCTACTACAGTTGCAAGCAAAACACTCGTGTACTTACTTGTCGGTATGTCGTCTCCATAGTCCACTGGCGGGTCGGGCCCGTAGAAGTCGGGTGGAAGACCGTACGCTTCAGGCGCGAGGGCCGGGGTAACCCCTGGGTACCCCCCGGGATACGCGCCCGGTGCTCCCCCATGGTAGGGGGGCGCCCCGTACCCTGGTGCACCCGGCGGCGGTGTAGGTCCGGGTCCGTACCCCGGCCCGGTTGGCGGCTGGGGGTAACCACCGGCTCCCCCCGGGTACCCCGCGGGTCCCGTAGGGGGGAACCCCCCTCCTGGCATTTGCGGGTACCCCGGTGCTCCCGTATTGAACCCCACGGGAGGCGGAGGCTGCTGTCCGGCTGCGCCCGGCTGCGGTGGGTACGCACCCGGAAATCCTGCCCCCCCACCCGGCGGATACCCTGCCCCACCAGCCGGCGGATAGCCTGCCCCCCCAGCAGGCGGGTAGCCTGCACCTCCCGGTGGAGGATAGCCTGCTCCACCTCCCGGGGGATAGCCTGCGCCTGGGTAACTCATGCTGGACGCTCTGATAGTAAAGACTAAGGCACTGTGAGCTAGCTGTATACGTATGTGCGACACTCAGTTGTCAGTGTGTACACACAGACAACGTCTTCAGTATGCCGCAAGTCAACAGAGCCTGACTGACTGCGTACTGAGAATAGCCTGTCGGACGGGTCGACGCATTTGCATCGTCTAGTCTCCTCTCTGTGTGTGTGTCACTCTGCATAAAATATTCATGCCCGAGGCAAAGTAGCTAGTGGACTGGGGAGGCGCCCAACACAAATAATGCTACCTTTAATAGTCGGGCCGGTATCTCTTGTGAATATCAAATCGTGCAGCCTGTGACAGTTTCCTTTAATTGTAGTACACCTTTAATAACAAGGTGTAAGCTATTTCTTAATGCTTGACACACAGTCGCCTATTAAGTCTATTTCGTCCATTGAGACGAAGATACGCGTACGCCCTTTGAAAGGCAAAAGAAGGGCGTGGCATGGAATTGTCGGGCAGGTATCTCTTGTATACTAGTATATCAAATCGTGCAGGTGTGACAGTTTCCTTGAATACTAGTACACCTTAACAGCAAACGTGTCTTACCAAAGTAGGGCTGTTCTTAACGCTTGACACACCTCTGTTAAGTCTATTTCGCCCATTAAGACATTGGTTAAAAGAAGACACGCCGAGTGGAACTAAAAACAAGGGCGCGGCATGGAATAGACAATTGCTCTGTAAAAGGAAAACAAATACTTTTGTGATAACCCACTGGACGGAAAGGGTGGGTCAAGGTTAATCTCCAAGTAGATCCTGGGGTGGCAAAAGACAGTATCAAATTGGCCAGGCAGTATTGTACATTTGGCCAGAGAGGGTCCAATACACCAACCTAGGATCTGCTGTCGAGGTAAATACTTTTATGATAACCCATTGGACGGAAAGGGTGAGTCGAGTTAATTGACTTGCCCATCAAATGGTGGACCAACCCGACTGACGTCAGAGTACCTGTACACATTGCGTCACGCACCACACACTGTTAAGTATTGTGACTCACAAGGACCTGGTCTTATATCACAGTAAATGTACAGGGCGTGTTCAGGACATTCAGCACAGTGCCAGAGACGCGTCGCACAACATTCATCCTAAGGACAAGCATAATTACAACTTGTAAAAAAAAAGACCCATATACATACATGTTGAATAATGACTACATGTATTAATTTAAAATCAAGTACAGTACATGGAAGTCGTTGATTTTGCTTAGTCGCTAGCCTATCAGCATATATAGCTGTTTCAGGCTCTTCATCTTTTTGGCGACGTCTCAGGGAGGAGCCTAACGGTACAGTATTGTGTGCAGTTTGCAAGAATTCTAGGAATGGTACAGGCATTTTGTCCACAGGAATGGAATGTCCACAGGCATGTCTCTGACCTACATCTATTCCCACATTCCTGGAAACCCTGGGAAGACCTCTCTGCCCCAGATGGCCCTGTGACCCCAGGGCTCGTTCACTATACACTCAGGGGAGGAGTGCACTGTATCTGTCTAGACTTAACAGCTTCCTCAAAATCATGAAATGATGGCAGTGCCATGCAAACAATTACCCTAACAGCAACCACCGTCGCCATGGCAATGTATGTTTTCATTGCCAGCCTTGTTTATAACTTCTTTGTTTTTGGTCGCTGCATTAATATTGTGGGTTTATGTACGGAAAGAGCAGATTGACAACAGGTGGGTTGGGGCAGATTGACAGGCAGAATTACAGGAGGTTAAACGGTTGAAGTCTGAAATCTCCAAAATCTCTCTTTATTAGTGTTCAAGTTTTATCAACTGTGTTCATTGAAAATATATTTATACGGTCAGTACAATATATACTGATATGTCTATATATATGGAACCCAATTAATAAGCTTTTCAAAACAGTACATAACACCGCAACGTTATCACATCATTCCCTTGCTTTGTTTCGTCGAAAACCAATACGGTTCCATTTTCGATTAATCTCAATCACCTGAATATATACAATATGTGTGCACGTGTGTATGTGTGTGTTGATGTGTGTGTTTGTGTGTGTTTGTGTATGTATGTGTGTGTGTGTGTGGATGTATGTGTTTGTGTGTGTGTTTGTCTGTGTATGTGTGTGTGTGTATGTATGTGTGTGTGTGTGTGTGTGTGTGTGTGCGTGCGTGCGTGTGCGTGTGTGTGTGTGTGTGTCTTTATTGCATTAAGCTGTTATGTTTATACGTGGCATTACACGTGACTGTATAACTTGAGTGTTTATCACCAATAAAGGTTAATCTCCAAGCAAATTCTGTGGGGCAAGGAAAGTCTATACTGGCCTACTGTAACCATGGTTACAGGAGGCCAATGGATACATGCAGCCAATATAGACTGCCTTTGTCCCACAGAATCTGCTTGGAGATTAAATACAGATATCCTTAAATATCGGCTTTTGTGAAGTTCAAAGGGGGGACGGATGCCCTTTTCCGTAGAGCTTAATCGGCCATTAATTCTACGTAGAGCGTAGACGGACCGCTCTAATTCAACGTAGAGCACATGTTGCGTAGAGCGTATTCGCCGTTTTAATTCTACGTAATGCGTTGCAGCCACTTGGAATTTATCGTAAAGCGTAATCAAGAGGTTTCCGAATTCAGCGCAGAGCGTTGTCGGGACCCCCCCCCCCCCCTGCAGCCCCCCTTCAAAACCTCTCCCGAAACACGAAACTGTCCCTGTCCGGCGCGTTGATGAATCTGTTCTCCTGCTTCATGTCTTCTCCTGACCAGCCCACGTGGAAATTCTGAACAATCTGTATGGCACATAAGAATTTAAGCTGTAATGTCACGTCATACTATCAACAAGAAGTACAAAGCACATAACAAGCAGCGAGCTCATGTCTCAATAAGAAGCATGCACTGACTGCGAGCACAAAAATGCAGAGCTGAAATGTTAAAAAGTGTACGCTTTGACAGTATGTTCCAAAATTCATAGGAGGACAAAAAAGAGAAAAGACAGAACTAGTGCAGGTTACAGCTTTAAAGCCCCAATATTTAGTCCTTTATTTTCTGGGTGGTACCCTAAAAATCAATCCAGTTCCTTCCAGTAACCGTTTTTCGTCAGTATTTTGGGCATTTTTGCTTCATGAATGTCGATATACATTGGGACAGTATTGTTTCAACTTAGCATTAGATAAATGAGTAGAATATTGACTTTAAAATCTGGTTTCCAAGCCCTAAAAACTGCACTGGGTGCCTTTAAAGTCCTCCCTGGCTAATTTGGCATTTTAGCTTTCCATCATTTTCTCACAAAGAAATTTAGAAAGAAATATAGTTGTACTGAATATTGATACCTGGGTACAAAAGGGTTATGAATATAGTAATAATATAGCATATAATATATTATAATATAGCACTTTGGTACAAATAACTGAAATAAAAGTATGATTTTCATGTGCATAATGGTCAAAGCTACAAACGTACGTTTGCACAAATTGATATCTACTAATTATCCGTAGTTATTAAAGAATAACCTAATTGCCTAATTAAAATTTAGTTATTCTCTAATAACTACGGGTAATTAGTAGATATCAATTTGTGCAAACGTACGTTTGTAGCTTTGACCATTATGCACATGAAAATCATACTTTTATTTCAGTTACTTGTACCAAAGTGCTATATTATAACTTTAAAGATAATTACATTTGGGGCAATAAAATGTGATGACGTCATCCATATGGTCCAAAAAATCATATTCATAACCCTTTTGTACCCAGGTATCAATATTCAGTACAACTACAGCTCTTTCTAAATTTCTTTGTGAGAAAACGATGGAAAGCTAAAATGCCAAATTAGCCAGGGAGGACACCTTAACCCTGCCTCATGGACTTGTCAATCTCATATATAGTTTTAATGCTTTTTAACCCTTCATTGACAAAGGGGCCTACCCTGATCAACCCCAGATGCAGTTCTTGTTCTGCAAAACGCCGACCTGTGGAAGAAATCAAACCAATTCCAATTTCAATTTTTAAGAACAAGCTGCAATGATAAAGTTAACATGTTACTGAAACACAAAGATAATATTGACACGTACACATGTAAATGGTGACTGAATTGTATAAGTCGATTTAAAAAAAAAACCCGTACCGATGCACATCCTCGGTCCATATCCAAACGGCAGCATTGCGAACGGCTGGATGCCGCCGGATGCACCGTCATCACGGAGCCATCTTTCCGGTTTGAACTTTTCCGGTTCCGGATAGTATTCCGGAAGCGAGCTGATGACGTCATTGGCCATGAAGATCACCGTCTGTGTAGAGGAGCAACGACACGTCATTATTCTTTTATTATATTGACAAGATGTTTGGTTCAGAAATGACAGAACAATATTCATATTTAGTGCTTTGTTTTATTACCTCTTTTAAGCTTGTACAGAGGCTTTGTTTTCAGTGTGGCATGTTTCTTTATCTTAGCCTGGGTGCCATCCGATTTGTAACGGCAAGAGATTTTTTCGGGGTTGCCGTTACAAATCAGATGGCACCCAGGCTATCTTTATCTTTAGGCTATCAAATGATGGAACAAATGTCTCCATACCCTGGCTGGAACGACATATCCAGACAACACGATGTCCCGGTCCAATGTTCTCAGGTTGTTGCCAACGGTTGGATAAACTCTGGAAGATTTTGAATCAAAAATTTCAAAATAAAAACAAGAGAAGTAGCATTTACATAATGTCTACCTCGACCTCTTCATGACGTAGGATTTGATATATTATGAAACTTACAAATACAGTAGCATATTTCAAAGTAGCATATAATCTAATGGCTATGCCACTGAGGGGCACTTCAGGTTTGTGAAAGTTTGTAGATATTTCGATGACCGTCTGTCATCTTCATCAGGGCAATGACAGACGCAGAGACGATCATCAAAACGTCAGCTCTAAGTTAAACAAGAGGTTGGGTGGTGAATAATGAACTTTGTAGTGGGGTCGTGTGGCACAGTCGTTAGCGCGTTTGGCTCACACCCAAGAGGTTGCGGGTTCGAATCCTGCCCATGTCACCGATCTTGTGCCCTTGGGAAAGGCACTTTACACGACTTTCCTCACTTCACTCAGGTGGAAATGAGTACCTAGCTTCGGCTAGGGACGTCCCTCGGATAGGACGTTAAATGGAGGTCCCGTGTTTGGGGAGAGCCACACCCCACGCACGTTAAAGAACCCATCGCACTTATCGAAAAGAGTAGGGGACCTTCCCGGTGTGAGTGGTTCAAACCTTACAGTCTGGTCTCAGGCTTGACATCTTGAAGAGGTGATAGTCACTTGTTATGTCAATCCTTCCATAAATGTGGTAAATCGTCATAAAACAAAATAAGATATTACCTGAAAGTTTCCTTCACCACGGCCCGGAGGTAGTGCATCCTGTTCAATATTTTGTCATCTATGGTCTGCCCGGGCGGGACCACCTCCACGATCTCACGGTAAAGCTTCTCCTGGGCTTCAGGATTTTTGGCCAGGCAGAAGAGGTTGAACATCAAGGTATTCCCCGTCTGAAATAAGTAGACAATTAAATAAATGATAAAAAGATCATCATCATCATGTCGGGGGTAGTTCCCGGTCCCAGACTCTCTTCCTCCAGTCCACTCTATCCGTCATGGCACTCGCCAGGTGCTCCTTCGGTAGTCCCACATCAGCAGCCAGCAGGTCTATGTACGTCATGCGAGGACGCCCAGGTTTAGCATGCCCTTGTTTGGGCTCCCACAGGACCAGTTCACTAGCGAGCTCGGTCTTACTTCTGTAGACGTGTCCTGCAAATCTTGTCCTCCGCTGTCCGCTGTAAACAGATCAAGGGATAAAGCACAGTAGCAACTAAAAATAGTGGTTCCCCAATGGTTGAATACTGACAATGACAATGAACTTTATTGCATATTCACGCCCTACATGGGACAAATGCACTAAGTAAACTATAGGTACAGATATAGAAGAAACAAGTGTTATACTTAATACTATAAGACAAAATAATGTCTTAAAATAATAAGACAAAGGATAGATGAGACGAGATGAGATGAGAAAGAAAAGTCCGTAAACTACCGGGTGATAATATCATTAAGAGAATGGTCCAGCATGACACTAAAATGTTAAAAAGAACAGAAAACCGAACAAGACTGGCAATGAAAAATACATTGCCATGGCGACGGTGGTTGCTGTTTTCATGATTTTGAGGAAGCTGTAAAGTCTAGACAGATACAGTGCACTTCTCCCCTGAGTGTATAGTGAACGAGCCCCGGGGTCACAGCAAGTAGGGCCATCTGGACCTACTTTCTGTCAGGTCTTCCCAGGGTTTCCAGGAATGTGGGCATAGATGTAGGTCAGAGAAATGCCTGTGGACATTCCATTCCTGTGGACAAAATTCCTAGAGAATTCCTAGAATTCTTGCAGATCAAACACAATACTGTGCCATTAGGCTCCTCCCTGAGACGTCGCCAAAAAGGGTAGATACAAAATTGGTTGTCAGATCGTTTAACGTTTGTGGTGTCAAAATAATCAGATTGGGGATAGCTGAGATGAGAAACAAAAAGCCCACGTAAACCTATTATCCGGCCAGGCCCTGGGCGGGGTCCCTGTTAGTATAACGTACCGTGTCGATCCCGGCAGCCAAAAGGTCCACTGCCATCATCATGGCCTCCTCGAACGTGACGTCTTCCCTGGAGAGGAGGCTGTGGAGAAAGTCTGTGTCTGACTCCGCGGGTTTCCCGTCTTCGGTTGTGCTCCTAGCCAGCTTTTCCTTCAGCAACTTGGCAGCGACGCTGAGGTTTCGTGCCAACACAAGTACAAATATGACCATAACTGACGCACTCGAATTTCGGACAAGTAACAGCCATAAAAGCACAGTGTACCACAAATATCAATACTCTCAGTAGATGAGTTTAAAAATGGGCTAAAATGTGAGATGAAGGCCTTGAGTACATGTAGATAAAAACTAATCTCCAAGCAGCTCTTTTGGTGGCCATAAAGACTGTATCAAACTTTGGCCAGACAGTATCCATTGGCCACCAGAGATCTGTCAGTACTCACGTACACAGGAAGGCCAATGGATACTGCCTGGCAAATTTGATACTGTCTTTGCAGCTACCGCAAAAGATCTGCTTGCAGGTCAACTTACTAGTGCCACTGGTCGATTGCTTTCTCAAACCTCCTCCAAGTTGGCGTGCTGATGTACCTGTGCAGACCGAACGCCGCGAGCTCCAGCTTCACAAACGCTCTGAAGAAGTCGTTGACCCCGTTGATCATCAGCTGCGCGTCAGAACCAGGTTCAAGGTCATCCAAGGTCAGGCTGCCAAGCCGTTTGTCCAGGACAACCACGCTGATCGCTAGGTGGGCAAGATGTAAGTGGAATAAAAAAGAGCTTGTCAATTATCAAAGAGTTTGGAATGCTCCACTGAATGCAGGGTCTTCGAATGTTTGACCCGTCTTTTGGTCTTCTTCAAGCTGACCGGCCTGATTACTAGTATTCAGAACACGTGACCTCACGCAAGCGTATGTAATGAAATGAGCTTTCATCACAACATATGGACATAGTCAATAGAATACAGGGGCAATCAAACTTTAAGCGAAAGCTGAAATGGGGGAATGCTTTCTTTGAAATGCAGGCCTCCTATAACAGATACATGAGATCCTTGACTAATATAAGGTACCAAACTCAGCTTCTAGCACCTGGAAGAAACGATTGTACCATTTTTACTCGTCCCTAACACAATTTCTATACACTTTGCAGGGTGCAAGGTAGTGAACTGAGACTTCCAATGCTCTTGAAACTTAGGCTGGAGGGTTTCTTACTCACCCTCCAGCGCCCATCTGTACACATAGTTGATGAAGTTGTGAATTTGCCCTCCGCTCTCCTCCTTCCCCGTCAGAGCCCGGATGACGTCCACCAGGTCCCTGGTGACGTCATCCTGCAGAGCGGCGTACGCGCCGACCGTCTTGGGTCGCATCATGTCCTTCTGAACCGAGCTGCGCACGCGCTGCCACTCCTCTCCGGTTCTATGGAATAGAGGCAACACCTGATCTTATTTTTCCTTCTGGGATGAAATCATATTTATACACTGTATTATTCAAGGTAAGTAAATAGATACTAATAATCGATAATAGATAATCAATGACCTACAATCAAAACATGATCACACAAAAACAGACAAGCACACGTATAATTCATACATTTACACACACACACACACACACAAACCCACACACACATGAACACATGCAGACACATACAGACACACACACATACACACACACACAGACACAGACACACACACACATGCAAACACAATGCACACACATTAACAAACAGACACATACACGCACACAGACACATACACACACACACACACATACACACGCACGCACATGCACGCACACAGACACACGAACACACACACACACAGACACACACACAGGTGACTGAGAGTGCAAGCATAACTAACATAACAGTATCACTATATATCGTATATACACACTGTACCTACAGGTTTGCTAGTCCAGCCGGCAGCTTCTTCGCTTCGCGGTAGATTTGAACACTGACAAGCGGCCGCCTTTCGGGATATCTTCCCTCATTGCGGAACACCCTCTCGATCTCCTTGGGATCACTGATGACAACCAAATCCATCGGGCCGATTTTTTCCCTGTAGATGTTCCCGTAGGTCTTCGTCCTCTCTTTAAATGACTCCATCAGCTTAGTTTTTATTGGAAATTGACCTGATAGGAAAATATTATATAACAATTTCATGATAATGACAATTCAACCGTTCTCAAACTAAAGGAAGTTGACTCACCGCGATTTTTGACCATATCTCTCGGTCTTCATCAGCTATCTGATGACACCCGCGTGCTGTTGGTACGTGTTTTCCCTCACGAGTGACGTCAGCACTGGGTCGGGACGGAGGGCGCTACAGACTTCCGACGAACTATGACCCAGTGCTGACTTCACTCGTGAGGAAAAAATCATGTGTCTACAGCACCTGGGTCAGAGAGCTGATGAAGACTGTCATCATAATTTTTACCCTGGATGCCAAACTAGTATCGGGCTGTTAGCCTTTTTCCTTCAGCAGCCGAGAGCCCTTCGCCCGCCTGGCTAAATTACCGCTACGGGGGAGTTGAGCCCGATGGGAGTTGGCTGGCCCTAGAACTAGTCTGGTGGCATCTCCGATCCAGGCCGTCCGGCCAGCCAACCTCCCCCCGGGCTAGACTCCCCCGTAGCGGTAATTTACACCAGCGGGAGAAGGGCTTTTGCGGCCCGGACAGCGAGTCTGGATTTCCAGGGTACATAATTTTATGTAACTCGTACGAACTTACTAATAGATGGACATATTATAAATTGCTTGTACAATTTCATGATGATTGACAGTCTTTTCATAATAACAAAATCAGCAAAAGGAAGTACGAAATGAAAATGGCCAGCTGGAAGAGGCGTGTCGTCCCTCAACCTGGTATCTTGAAAGAAACTTAGCCAAGGTGATCACAGGTAACACAACAACCTGGGTATCAGATTACATTGTGTTTTATGTTGTACTTTGTACACTGGACAATGAACCTACCATAAATAGCCGTGGTGCTTCAAAGAGGGAATTTCACTTACTAAAGTTCAGTATGCATGTGCACACGTTGGCAACAGTCATGTCCCCAGAGACATATAACCTCCTTGGTCTATGTTGGTACGTAACTTAAGGTTGGTTACTCAACTGACTGTGTACGTATTACGTTACAACAAGGAGGCTTTTATAGTGGTTTCCCTTAATGCCCACGATCATGATGATAATGATCATTCTGTCATACTCATTTAACGTAAATCATTTCGTGCAAAGTCCCAAGGGCATAAGGTCGGTGACTTGGCAGGATTCGAACCCGGGACCCCTTGGTTCTGACGCCACACAACCCCAGCCAGATACATTTGTATGGCCTCAAAGGGGGCTCCCTCCCCACTACTTAGTATAGCGTACCGAAAGGAGAGTAGTCCAACGCCGTCCCGATGAGGGGCAGGCCCTTCGGCCCTGGGATCTCTTCGAAAGGCCGAGCGGAACTCTCGTACGCGACGCTACCTTCCGGTTCTTCCCCGGTGCTCTGCGAACGGACGGTCGCTGTTGTTGTTGTTGTTCTCGGAGCCACCGAAATTATTCCAGCGCGGAACCAACTCCCCTGGACAACCCTTCTGACAACTTTCAGGAGCAAAGACATCTCGAAAAGTTGGTGTAAGAAGACTTAACAGGTGTCAAGGGATCGGTGACGCTGGCCTCCAAGTTTCTTGAGGTTTTCTTCAGTGTTGTTTGTCAGAAAAGGTGAGAAGCCTTGTCACGGTTTCTTGCTGTGAAGGACCTCCGCCACAAAGATTGGGACGGGAGGTCATCGACCAACCGGACAATAATCTTTCGTTTCGGGTCATCCCCCTGGCAAGGGTTAAACCATTTCATACGCGGGAGGGGGTAGAAGGGTGGGGTGATGACAACTCTCTTTTAGGCCATGTTGATTTGATAATATGGATGACATCCTCTGAGAACCCCAAAACTGATGCGCGCGTGCGAATAAAAAAAAAGTTTTGCAAAAAAAAAAGTTGCTTTCACTATGAAATCTACGTGGTCATGAAGGTTGAACAAATGGCACAGGATATGTTATGGCGAATAATCTACCCTTCGAATTAATTTCTTTACATTTTTGTCTTTTTTCCTTTGATTTTGGCATTCTACGACATTGGTATCGTTTCTAAATGTTTTCCTTGCAACTTATGGTATATTTTTGCTCATTTAGCAACTGTTTTGCACGATTTACAGTGTGGTTGAAAACTTTTTTTTTTTTTGGAAACGGCCGAAAATTCATGCGCGCGAGGATGTCATCCATATAATCAAATCAACATGGCCTTATTATAATACAACTCTTGTCATCAGAAAAGATCCTCTGTGTTATCCAGAGAGGTAACGTTATATTTGTGCCGATTTTTTTTTGCAGAATCGGTTTGTATGTGAATGATCACATAACGTGTTAATATAACTAAAAGCAAGGAAGTTTAAAGAAATACCAAGTCCTATAAAATTGGACTGAACTATAATATTTTTCTTTTATCTAAATGTTTCGCCGATTACTCAGACCCGGAACACTATAACTCAATCTGCTGTTTATATACATTCATGTTACTTATGAAGCAGAATTATGCTGGTATTTGAAGGGTCTTGAAGGGATATTTTCATAGGGGGCGGGGCTGTCTGAAGGGTCCTTTGTGCTTGACCCGGAAGTAAAAGCGATGTTTACGCACAGTTCGCGGACTTGTTGGGTTAGCTGACGTCCGGACGGCCACGTACAGGTACGGCGTAACGTCACAACAGGTGTTTACGTCACTACAGGTTCAGGACATTCTTGGCAAGTCTCCGAGACGCGTTGCACAACATTCATTGCCAGTATAATGTCAACTTGTGAAAAAAAACCTCTCTTGACTATATTCGTATGTATTGAATAATGACTATTGAAAGAGGTATATGGAAGTCGTTGTTTTTGCTTAGTCCTAGCCTAACTATATTAGCTGCATCATTCCGATGCCTTCCTGCCCTATGCAAATGAGGTTTAGACCCCAGGATTCGCAATGCATCCTGGGGATGAGGAAACTCGTGAATGGTTGATTGCAGCAGTGACACCTACCGGCATGTATGGGTAGTGAATGAAAAGACTTTTTTTACACAGTCGTCGTTTCGGTGACCGTCTGTCACCTTCCTACGTCGAAACGTCGGCTGAATAAAATACTTGCTTGGTTGTGTAAAAAGAGTCTTCCTATTTTGTGACTTAATGATAATATTCACGGGTGTAACATATGTGTTAAAATAATTCAATACAAGAAAGTCGACGTTCACATAAACTTTATTTACAACAGACAAATCATGGCAGGGATTTAACCCCTGAAATCGTTACGTTGTTTCACTACTACTTAGTTTAAAGTTACAAATGTATAAAGAATTGTCATCTGACGTCACTGACGTCCTTTGACCCTGTCCTCCCCAGTACATACCCGTCAAACCACTTTGAATCAGGAGTGAAAGGTCAGACCAAGGACGCGACGAGCTTGGTAAAATCGCTTTGACGTAATCTGGTGACATGTACAGAGACCTCCTCAACAGTACTGGACACAGAGGACTGACAGGCCTGGATATATGTATCAGATTCTTTCTTCTTTTCTTTACGATTTTTAGCTCTCAACCGGTTAGATAACAGTCTTGAATTCAGTCAACCTGAGGAAATGAGTACCAGTGTCAGGCAGGACTCACGTGCTGTGGTTGCAATACAAGTCGCGCTTTAATTTGCCTTGATCCCAGGATTGATATTAATTGTTTATTCAGTTTAGAACCATTCCGTGATGCTCTTTATTCTTAGACAAGTTAATTGTGTACAGAATACGAATCTGGACCCTTCGACAGGATCATCGGTACGTGTCTACTACATTTTCCGTCTCGGTGACGTCCTACTTTCAACTATTAACGAACTAGGCCGAAGGCAAGATCTAATAATAAAAGTAGGGTGGGCGAGCAAGCCGATGGGCTTTGATAAAATTGTAACCAGTTAAACTATAACGTTGGGCTGTTGCACAGCAAAATGGGCTGCATCTAAAGTTCTGTACTAGGATAAACGATGCCACCGGTGTATACTAGTGTATACTGCCACCACGTACAGAGATAATTTCTCCCATATAGCTAGATGCTGTAACAACGATTGGATACTGGACCTGCTTACAACATAATCTCAGCGATCGTAAGAACGTTACAGCATTAGTCTGAACCGAGGTTCAGGCCGGTACTAAACTACCGTACTTCGCTAACCTCCCAAACTGACGCCATGAGACAACAGGTGAACCTGTGGCGGGGACTAACAGTCGCAGTTGCAGCGTCCGTCGTCCTGTGGGCGTACTATCTGTTTTCGTGTGTTGACGTGTCCTACAACCCTGTGATGACGACGAAGTCCAACTTGACCAACACGTGCGTGCTATTTTCTCTAGCCTCCTGTGCAGGCTCCGGGGCGGGTGGAATTTTGATACAGCGTTTTGAAGAGTTTTAACGCGTTCTTTTAATAGCCGCCCATCCTACAAGGTTCCATTCCGCTCACGGAGCCTGCTTCCATTCGGCACGAAAAAAGCAAAAGAGGATTAGAAAAGTCTTTCAAAAGGCGCATTAACATGGGCGAAATGGAACCTTCTCCCGGCGGCTGGTTGTAGGATGGCCGGCTATTAAAAAAACGCGTTAAAACTCTTCAAAATGCTGTATCAAAATTCCCACCCGCCTCGGAGCCTGCACAGGAGGCTATATTTTCTCTAAATAGTTACCCAATGCAAGTTTTAGAGCTGGGAATGCGGAAAGTCTGGCAGTTTTCAAGATCTATCCAGTTTCTTGAGTTAACTGTTTTCCTGTGTAAACAATTCACTCATATATACATTAAAGAATGTTTCAATCTTAGAGACTACGGTTAGAGAATAGTTAAACCTTTATTGTTATCACTGATATATATTCTGTACGTAATTTGCCACATACATATATTCTGTGCGTAGGATGAAGTTATCCATACATGTATTTAACTTTGTTAGATCTTTAGTTGTAGAAGACCATACAAAAGTCCCTGTACTTTTTGTTGTGTCAATAAAGAATCTTTATATCACTTAGAATATCCCGCCTCTGCCAGTGGCGACCTTTTGGCGATCGATCAGTGAAATCGATATTATCGGATCGCGATGACGTAATTCTGGGACAGTCCTGTCGGAAGAAGACAAACTTCGTTTTCATCAAAGTCCACAAGGCTGGAGGAACGGCCATGTGTCAACTCTTCTACAGATTTGGGCTGCGGCATGGCCTCAACTTCGTCCTCCCCAATGGAAGCAGCGATACTACGTGGTTCAATCTAGGTAATTAAGATTTGGTCTAGCCTCTACCAGGCTTCGGGAGGCGGTTGGAAAGAGTAGAAATCGGCCAGATAGAGAGATAGCATGCCAGGGGAGTTGGTCTGTGAGCGGCAAACTGTTCTCTCCAGCAGACCAACTCCCCTGGCATGCTACCTCTATTTCCAGCCACCTCCCGAAGCCTGGTAAAGGCTAGATTTGGCCATCGATCTCATCAGTCGAAGTTCCAATGGTGGTACGGTGGTAATAGTTAAGTTCTTTTATTCATAACCATTCGTTTTTACATGATATGGGTCCACGTTTCGATGACAGTCTGTCATCTTCATCAAGCTATGGCTATTATGGTTTACCGTTCACTGAAGCTAGATGTTACATAGTTCACTGTGTACTAAAGCTAGATGTAATTACTGTCTCAATACAATGCAGTCCCAAGCGTAGAACCGTTGAGACATACGTAGATATTGTTACAGCATAAGGAAAAATGTTTCATCAGCAGTTAAAAACATACTGTCATACAAAGGCATTGTAACTACATTGGTATTTGACAACGATTGGTCACGAGCAGCTTTATCGCATATTTCGCAAAAAATAGGATTCAGGTATGAATAAAAAGATCTGGCATCAACTATATCATCTTTTCCAGAATAAATCTTTGCTCCTTATAATTACTCCAGGCTGGCCATACCCGCTGAAAGAGAGTCAGTACATGAGGCGGATTAACGACGAGCCCTTCAACATCCTGACAAACCACGCCGTGTACCGCCGGGACGTGTTTCACAGCATCATGCCGAACGACACGGTTTACCTCGCCATCTTACGGGAACCCTTCAGGTGAGAAGACTTGTCTGTCTACGGTCACATAGTCTTTATCAGGCCCATAGTAGGGGCAGTCAGTGTCTAGAGCACTGTCACGGTTGGAAGGCGGAACCCTTCCCCCTAATTCTACTTAGGTTATCACCGGTACCGTCCACTGCCTTTTACCACCCCAACTGAAGTCAGGTACCCGTTTTACATATAATCGTTACACCTGGATGGAGTGAGAAAAGCCATGTAAAATGCATTTCCCAAGGACATAACGTCTAGCCAGAAATGCAAGAAAACAAACCCGCGACCTCTTGATTTCCTGTACATGTATCCGACTACCCACTCGGCCATTCGACGCCACAGAACATTCTAGCAATATAATAGGGGCTTTCGTTTCTTTTAAAATAGCCATACGACTTACAACGTTAAAACAAAAGCACACATATTGCACTTTTTAAACTTTATGAAATGTGTGTATGTGGAAATATAATGGACACTAATTAAATCTGTATTGGTCAAACTTTATTTCTTTTACTCCTGTCCGCCATCCAGTCATCTGAAGTCAGCTATGAACTACTATGCTTTACCAGGAAAGTATAAGTTGCCAAGGAAGAATACACTCACAGCATTTCTACGACAACCAAGCTTCTACGAGGACCCGTGGAGAAATAGAATGAGGCAACCGTTTTCGCACACAAACCTGATGTCTTGGGACATGGGTATTAATTTTTCGGCGCGCTTGGATGCCGAGGTAAGTTCGTACAGGTAACAAGCACATCGGCAGAACGCACTGTACCTGTGCGAAAGTAGTCATTTCTTGCAGCAAGGTGTTTTTGGGAAATTAAGTACATTCGGAATGTACCTGTGTGCCATGGCCTAGTCAGCATATCCAGTATCTTGTAAGGGAGCTAGTGTGTGGAGTTCAGAACTTCGGGCCGATGTTTTTATTCATTATCTAGTGAAGGTTAGTTTTATTTTGTATCTGTTCAACATGTATTGTTGTGACCTGTACTTTTGCCCAGTGTGGCAAAAATGTGCAATAAAGGTGGTCATTTTTGTCTGAAAATACTGTATTGTTACGTTTGCTCAGTATGTAGAAGCGTACGTGACCCGACTGGAGCGGGAGTTCATGCTTGTTCTGATCCTGGAGTACCTGGACGCGTCGCTAGTCCTGCTGAAGAGGTACATGTGCTGGGACATGGTGGACATCCTCTACAAGAAACGTGGACCCCAAAGGTAAGAACAGGATAACAAAAAATCTAATATGATCCGTGAATAATTCACGTGTGAATATCTTTTTTCTCAGTCATCACTGTGAATTTCTCACTTATTCTGTAAATGAAAGTGAAGACAGAAAATGACACACACACATACAAAAACACACACACGCACATACACACACACACACACACACACCACACACACACATACACACACTCACACACACACACACACACACACACACACACACACACACACACACACACACACACACACACACACACACACACACACACACACACACACA